CTTGTCGGTGAAGGAGAACGAACTGTGGCAGGTGAAGAAGGCGGATGTGATAGTGGCGAAGAAGGTGGTGTGAAGGAAGTCACTAGAATTTGGTTCTGTTCGATTGCAGTCATACTTTTGTTTTCAAAAATAAATATACACAAATTGTCTCGTAATATTTTTTATAATTTTATAATCGTAAATTAAATCTAAAAATTTTTTTTTGTTCCCTCGTCGTTAAATTTGTTGGTGGAACCGAGTAACCAGATGAGAGGAAAGACAAAGTTGTCCGGATTGAAAAGAACGACGCTGCTTTTTCGATTTTGTGACCAGATATAAAGGAGATTTAAATTTCGTGTGGCAAAAGTCTCAGGCTGTACACAATCTGACCACACTTTGGTTTCCTAATCTAGCAATTGTAAACTTCCTTTTTTACTCACAATCTTCAATCTCTACAATTAAATATTGGGTTTCTATAATTATTATAATATTAATGGCAAACTAGTATAAAAATCTAGTTTATTTTTAGATCAATTCAAAACACCGAGAAATTTATCGTTATCAGCAATTTATTTGTTACACAAGCTGATTGCGGGGGAAACCACGCATCAGGCGGAATTATATAAAAATTTGGCCGAAAAAGTGCTTGTGACACGACCAGAATTGGAAATTGAAAATTATCAAAAACTCGCGAATAATAATGTCTAACTCTCTTTGCCACAGTCGTGAATTCCTGATTGACGACAAGCCTATCGAGAAACCGTTGTGAATAAATAAAAAGCCTGTTAATTTTCTTGTTTGTACATTAAAAGGAATTATGTCATTGTTGAATAAATTTCGGTTGACATATTATTTTAGCATCTTTGATAATGAAACACATTTGTGCACGATATACGTGTATATGGTTTGATGCATGTATTCAATTCTGCAAGCCCAAAGAGCAGTTAACTAATAATGTATCAAATTGTATTATCCTGACGTCGTATGTAAAACAAACAGCTGAATTAGAAACAATCGGCAAATTTTCAAAAATTGTGGGTCACGCAACAAATAAATTTGGTTTAGCGGCTCATTCACTTATGGTGTTTGTTTTTCTTGAGAGCACTGTACATACATACATATGTAATCCATTTTGTTTGCAGTATCATTGGGCCATGCAAACCATAAGTAGAAGTTTGACCAACAAATCTCTTCTCTCATATGTGAGAAAATACTAGAAAAGTGGTACCGCTGCGTATCACACAATACACAAAACGTTCCGCATGCGGGTAACAATCATCGCGACGAAATGACACACAATCGAACGAAGCTCATCATGTTTATTACGACACAGTTTGGATTATGAACTGGCCAAAATCGATAATCCAAATTCGCGATTGCTTAGCAGTCGCACAATCACCATTCCTCGAGGTAAGTTTATGTACGAAGCAGTAGCCGAGCTTCGTTACACTTGAATTAATTCATAACACCCAATTCAATCCTCTGGTTGGTTACTGTACAGTATAAAGTGCAGAGTGGTATTACAATGATGCAGATTTTATCTTATTCAATGATCAATGATATTACAGGTGGAGTTTTTTAAAGTAAATTAATCCAAAACTTTCGTTGACACTTATTATGCATTTACTGGACTGATAGTTTTAAATTTTTTGATTGATTTATAAAAAATATATTTATTATCTTAATAAATTGTATTGCACATATAAAATACTAAATTATAATATATTTCATTATATTTATATAATTATTTAAGAATTTTAATAAAAAAATCAATTTATTAAAAATATGATTTATTGATTATTAATTTTGAAATCATATTTTCTATTAATTTTGATATATTCAGTTGATATTTTTTGTTAATCCTTTAACATAATTTTTTTAATTCTTTAGAATTTTGGCAAAAAATTTTGTTTTTACAAACTAATGGTATAATTTTGTATCAGAGATTTTTGTAAAATTTAAATTTAAACTTTAAGTTGATTAAAAAAACATTTAAATGTTATTTTTGTGTTTGACAACTTTAAATAATGAAAAATTAGCATTATTTTGAAAAATTATATTGACATTTTTAAATACATTAATATATAAAATATTAATTACAAGATTTTTTAAATATTTATAATACTTAACAATTGCTAATAAATATTAAAGTTCAAATTTTTCATATGGTTTATTAATTAATATAATGCTATTAAAATAAGATAAATATTTGATTTATTTAAAAACAAAAACTTTTTTTAAAATTTTAATAAAGAAATATTAATATAAAAATATATTATATAAATTAAATCATTATATATTAATTTATAAATATATAGAATAATTTTTTTTAATAACTGATTTATATCTTGTTTATTAAATATTGTATTGAGCTTTTATATAATTATAATATAGAATATAGCTCTATTTATTTCTTAAACTACCTAAAATAGAAAATATTATTTACTAATTGACTTGTTGCCTCTCATGTCTTTTATATTATTAATGTTAGAGCCTTAATAATATAAATAAAAAATCAACTTGTTAGAATATATGCCTTTAAGTCTTTATTTGCTATTATATAAATAGAAACTTAGAAAACCATCTAAACAAAATCAGTTTCAAACTGGTTATATCTTATTGGTTCTAATTAAATCTATTAAAATTCAAAAAAATATAAAAAGAAAAAAAATGTATGTAAGTTTCTATATTAATTTATAATAAATTCTTAAAACTTACAAGACATAGTTGTAAAATTACAAAAGAAAAAAAATTACTAATTGTTTTAAGAAAAAATCATTTATATATTATTATAAATTTTATATATATTTATAATCAATTTAAACTTTTTATATTTTCTTGATAATCTTTATTTAGTCTAAAAAATCCCAAACTAAAATTAATTAATTATTTTTTATTTTCAAGTAAAATACTAATATTGATATCTATTATAATTAAATAAAGTTCAGTTATAAAATATTCAACTTTATAAAACTCTTTCCCGTTTCCCTCAAATTTTTGAAAAACTTTCCTTTTTAGGAAACTTTAATGAGACAAGTTTGGGGCC